CTTTTAGGCTTTAATCAACATTTACAACACGATTTCACTATTTATCTCAAACTTTATGTTTATCCGCGACTTCTACGTTAAGTTACTTTCAAATCTAAACGATTTAGTTTGAAGGCAATTTTTTACTTCTTAGGCTATCTCTAATTTAAGTAATATGTATATGGAAAACAGACATGTTGAAACTTTAGATTTATTTGGACTACGGTCACGTTACCATTGATCTTATAATATATCATTGTCGGTGCAAAGTGCGTTAGGTACAACCACATAAACTGCATCGCACTTCATTGTGCGGTTTTTTTGTGGTTTGAGGTGTATGTACAATGCGTTTTGGGAAAATACCACATATACAACGCGGTTTGCATTTTTCCTAAAACCGCACCGCGAACACCCCTATCTAATTGACACTTAAGTCCATTATTATTTTTTTAATCTTGTAAATCTTTTTAAGGATTTTGACTTACACTCTTAATGAGTAGCAGCCAATGCCCGATGCAGTTTCAATTTTTAATTAGTTTGTGTGTTTTAGATTTATTTTTAAAGTCTAGTTATTGGCACAACATTAGATTGGATTGGACGTGATTAACCAAAATTGGTCCCGTAAAATATCAATCGTTCCCGTCGATTGATGTTTATCCAAAAAAAACACCAACAAAAAATATCTGCGTAATTTGAGGTTCCAACCAACAATTTACCTACCAACTTTTGTGACGGTTTAATGACAAAACATCGCTTCTAAGATGGATCTCGGAAAAAATATGTAGGTAAAAGTCTTCTGTTTATAATAGTGATTATACTTTGCTACCATTTTGTTGTTGGTTTTTATTTGCAGGGTATTTGTGATTTTTCAAGTTATGTTTGATGTTAATATGATCCGTAGACATGGGATTTATTAATTGTTAAGTAGCTTTATATACAAATAGATGATTCTTACGGATTGTTACTAATTCGTCTATAGAGAGGATAAGCTATGAAGTCAAGAACAAGATAACCATCAAAATATCGCTAATTTGGGAATAAAATCCATCACTCAGGGTATACATCGTCGTCTCCAGTTCCTTCAACATGACTTCTCACCACTTGGTTGTATTGCTGAGACACTCGACCCTAGCTCACGTACACCATAATTGTCGACGCGCAAAACATGTATCATAGCTCCTACGAATGACAAGTGACCTAGACCGGTGACCTCAAGTGGCATGACTAGGTTGCATGTTGGATTTGAGGCATGTATTTGCACTTCCTTTTCTTTTATTGAACTTGCCTTCACAACATAAAAGACCGTTTTAAACAAATGTCATACCATATTACATACTCTAGTCGTGTTCCCTTTGGATGTTGAGCACACAAATATATCGTTCTACTATTTGCATTTCAGTTGGAGTATTTAAACATGCTTTCAAAGTGACTACACAATCACCTACGTGCACTACTTGTATTAATACATGTCTCTTTAGGGAACCAAATGTCCTCAAGAAAAGTTGCCGGTAAAATAAAACATATGCCGGTAAACTTGCTAGTAAATCAATTACCGGCGCCAACTTTTCCGGCGGACATATCCGCCGGAAATGCATATTACCGGCGGATATGGTCGTCGGAAAAAGTTACTCTGTTTGGTGGTGTTATGATCCGGGAAACATCACTAAAAGGACCTGCATAGAATTTTTTGATTCTTCAATGAAAGCGTTATCCATAATTAATATGAGTTTGTTTTCAAAAGGTTTTGTAAAATTGGTTACATTCATTTCTTTTATAAAAAGGGTCTCTTTGACTCAAAACAAAATACAAAATAAAGGAGTTTTGGATGATTATAAAACTTTAAATGTAACAGTTTGACTACTTGAAAGTCAAACCGTAAGTGTAAATAAAATTGAAGGTTTTTTAAACGAGTTGAGAAAACCTACATGTAAAGTTTTGACTACTTTACGATTAAGTTTATGATTACATCCGTTTCATGTACAAAATAAAATCCTTTTACATCCCTTATTTTTTAACTTTTGCTTTATATTATTAAATTTGTATCAATAAATTAATGTATTTTAAATATAATTTTCTTTTATTATTTTTAACAAATATTATCATTAAAAAGATATTGTCAGTACCTTGAAAACAATACAAATATCGAATTGTTAGTTTTCATTGTTCAACTTTATCATAAAATAAAATAATTAATTTGGATAAAAATCACTACAACAAAATTGAGTTTATAGGACACCCCAAGTTCTAAGCGTTTCAATAGACCGCTTTATATGACTTAATTTATATGACTAAAACATAAAGTGTCCTATCTAAAGGTGTTGTAATAAGTTTATATGACGTTTTTGGACGTCTAAACATGTTTTTTAGGACATTCTTAATACAAAGTCTCGTATTAGCAACTTTATAGAACGTTTTTGAGAAAGTGTCCTATAAACTCAATTTTTTATAGGACATTTGTTTTTATATAACAGTTTTTCACACAGTGCTCTATAAAGTTGCTAATGAGACGCTTTATATTAAAAGTGTCCTAAAAAACTTGTTACGACGTCAAAAAACTTCATATAAACTTATTACAACACCTTTAGATAAGACGCTTTATATTTTTGGTCCTATAAACTAAGTCTTATAAAAAGTCTATTAGGACGCTTAGAAATTGAAAGTGTTCTATAAACCTGATTTTATTGCAGTGATATTGGATTAAATCTTGAGAATTAGATAATTCTCTATTATTATTTGACCTCCATACGAAACCCCTTTGTAAAATAGACATGCTATCTTTGTGAGTATATGTATGGACTTCTTGCTGAAGCTGTTTGCATGACAGCTTTACAAATTCATTGGTTTGACCATCTCCATAACTATGCTTTAATTTGGAGATGATTTGTACACAGATTTGTCTTCATCACATTATTATTCTTTGATTGCTTATTATTTTCTGAATGATCCAATCTTCTACTCATACTACAAGCAATATGGATTTTTGTAGAATAAGGGTTCTTAGAAAACCATATGCATCATTATTTTGATAATCAACATTGGATAGCTTTTCAATCCACTTGTGGCCACGGAGGTTCAAATGCGGTGACTCCGGGTTATCTACAAAACAGGTGGTCGCTTTGGGATTAGTCAGTTAGCCCGGAGTCACCGCATTTGAACCTCCATGGTCACAAGGGGGTTTTTATTCCTCATTAGATTTGAACCTGAGACCTCCTGGTACTTTTGACATTTTGAGTCAAGCTCAAACCAAACAGGCACCACCCTTGTGGTTAAGTACAAAAATATTGATTTTATTCGAATCCAGATCCTGATAATACTCTTATTGCTATATAGGTTTATCTACGATTGCTCGAGGCCATTCGTTGGTGTGTGTAAGATTACCCGAAATCCTACAATTACCCAAAAACAGTACATGGTGGTAGACATTAACAACTTACAAATGAATAGATTGCTAGATATATGAAATGGAAAAGCACTTAAATATAACCCTAACCCTAATCAAAATAGGGTTTAGAGTTCATCATTAACAAGGCAGACCTAACCCTTAGATGAATAATCATGCCTAAAAGATGGAAGTGTCATGTTTATCTCGTCTACTCTTTAGACGTATCACACCTAAAGAGTGAAAGTGTCGCCTTTGGTTTGAGAAAATGGTTTGGAGGATTTGGAATGAAATTTGGAATGTTTGATTTGGATTTGGAATGTTTGGTTTTTAGGATTTGGAATGAAATTTAGAATGTTTGATTTGGATTTGGAATGTTTGGTTTTTAGGATTTGGATTTGGAATGTTTGGTTTTTAGGATTTGGAATGAAATTGAATTTCATTTTTTATAAATAATTTGTAAAAACAATTAACAAATAATTAAATTACCTTATTATTAATCGATTATTAGAAAAGAAAACGTTTTTAACATATTTTTAAACATTATTATATACAAATCATTCTGAATCCCTTGAAATTTCAACCACCCCATGAGATTTCAAAATCCTATTTTTGAGGAATTTCAAAGAGATCTTAGTATTCAAATCCGAGCAATTCTACAAACTAAACATGTGATTGAAATGAATTAACTTGAATTCCAAATCCCCTAAAAAGTTTAATTCGTGTAAATCAAACTAGACCTAAGAGTTTTCTATCCGATCACGTCCAAAAGACTAGAAGTCGATCTTTTATTGCTTGCTAACATTAAAATTCACAACACAACAAACATAAGAGAGATCGAAACCAATCAAAGCACTAATTCCACGAACGCTATGAAGGTTTTTTTTTTCTTTGGATTTATTTCAATTTCAAGAACTATGGTACATAGTGTTGTATTTATCAATGTTCAAATATACTTTAGACAATTGATCCGCAATAGATGATTGGACACGTCACTACAACAAAATTGGTTATAGGACACACCCTAATTTTTAAGCCTTCCAATAGACCGTTTTATAAGACTTAATTTATAAGACCAAAATATAAAACGTCCTATCTAAAGGTGTTGTAATAAAGTTTATATGATGCTTTTGGGCGTCTTAACAAGTATTTTAGGACATTTTTAATACAAAATGTCGCATTAGCAGCTTTATAGAACACTTTTGAGAAAGTGTCCTATAAACTCAATTTTTTATAGGACATTTGTTTTTATAGAACAATTTTTCAAATAATGTCCTATAAAGTTGCTAATCGGACGTTTTATATTAAAAGTGTTCTAAAAAACTTATTACGACGTCAAAAAACATCATATAAACTTATTACAACGTCTTTAGACATGACGCTTTATTGTTTTGGTCCTATAAACTAAGTCTTATAAAAAGGTCTATTAGGACGCTTAGAAATTGAAAGTGTCATATAACCCCGATTTTGTTGTACTGCGTTAATGTTACACTTTTTATAACACCACCTTGACTATCTACCAATGATGTTGGTTTTGATCTCTCTTTCGTTTAGGTTACGGGGCTGATGATCAACTTCAAAGCTATAAATTTTACTCTTTTTGAGTCCTTTCTTACATTCCACAAGATCTTTATTGTCCCCCATGGCATGTTTTCATGAAGTTCTTATGATCACATTGTTTTACGGTCTTATCTTACCAACATGGGTAGTTGGAAAACAGCAAATACCATGTTACTTCATTTTTGGAGACTCCTTAGTCGACAACGGCAACAATAATCACTTGGTTACTTTCGCCAAAGCCATTTACCTTCCTCATGGCATCGACTTCAGCTCTGGACCAACCGGAAGGTTTTGCAATGGCCGCACCTTCGCTGACTTCACTGGTACGTATACGTAGATCTCCATCTCCAACTTCTTTTAAACCTTATCACAACTTACCTTTTTTCTATGCCTAATGTGAGACATTATCCATGCATTTCATTTGCAGCTGAACATTTGGGTTTCACTAGTTACATTCCTCCATTTGCTTCTCCAAATGGGTCCAATATTCTATTAGGACTAAATTACGCATCAGCAGCAGCAGGAATTCGCAGCGAGACTGGCCGTCATCTGGTGATTTGAATACAAACAAGATTACAAAGTTGCATATATAGTTGTAACTTAAAGCATGTACTCATTTAAAATTGTACTGTAACTTGGACATTTGTTGTAATACAAATTGATTATGGGTTGCAGGGTGATCGGATAACGTTTGATCAGCAACTGGAAAATCACGAAATGACAGTGTCGAGTATTGGAGAGATTCTAGGAGGAGCTGATTCGGCATCGACTTACCTAAAGAAGTGCTTCTATCAGATTGGATTTGGCAGCAATGATTACCTTAACAACTATTTCATACCATCTGTGTATGAAACCAGCAACATCTTTACAGTTGAGGAATTCACCAAAGTCCTCATTCAACAATATAGTAGCCAGATTCTGGTGAGTTCTTGATTATGCCTCAGCTAGAGCCACCTTCCTTTTTACTTTTTGGTCAAAATATCCAATCTCTGCAGGCATTATATAACTATGGAGCAAGGAAGGTAGCTCTTAGTGGTTTGGGTCCGATTGGTTGCACCCCATATGAGCTGTCTCGTCACTCTTCGAATGACTCTTGTGTAGAATACATCAATACAGCGGTTCGATTGTTCAATCACAATCTCAAGTTACTAGTTGATGAGCTCAACAACGACACGAGCCTACAAGATGCTAAATTTATCTACTTGAACTTCTATGATATGAGTATGGAAGCCATTCAACAACCTTCTTCTGTCGGTAATGATTAAATTAAACCAAGTATCACAGTTAATCCTTCAGATGTTTGCAGAAATAAATCATTGAAACTTCAAAAACATCGGACTCATAATTTTCTTTGGAATCGATCGATGGTGTAGGATTAAAGGTGGTGAATAGCGCGTGTTGTGGAACGGGGTTGAACAATGGTGCTCTTACATGTCTACCGTTTGAAGTTCCGTGTTCGAACAGGGATGAATATTTCTTTTGGGATGCATATCATTCTACCGAAGCAGCAAACAAGATAGCCTCAAGAAGAGCATATCTCACAGTTAATCCTTCAGATGTTCATCCCTTTGATATTTATCACTTGATCCAACTCTAGCAACGGATTTACACTCGACAAGTCACTATTTTTTTTTGAAATGTATCAAATATTGATGATAATCATAATAATTATAATTATCACAAATGATTAAAACTAAAATCTCGATCACAGTCCTTTAACAATTTGAAACAGTCGATAAAACTGTTCAAAACCACTTTCTTTAGCATAAATCATGGATGAATTGAAATGAGATATCTCAAATCTTGTTTTATTATTAATGTATTACGAACCATCGTGGTGTTACATTACCATCTTTTTTTTATTAACCTAGATATCCAACCTGCTATGTGAGCCGATTAATCATCACCAGCTTTGCAGATAGCCTGGAGTCACCGCATTTGAACCTCAGTGGCGTGGCCACAAGGGGCTTTTTATTCCTCATTGGATTTGAACCTAAGACCTCCGGATACTTTTAACATTTGGAGCCAAGCTCAAACCAAACGGGCTACGTTACCATCTTATTCATCTAGTGCAAGGGCTAATTAGACAACATGTCCTAATCTGTTTTACTGATCTTTTGTTTTGACACAAATACCAAATCATCTCAACTTTCTGGCATCTACCTAAACGTTTTCATACCCATTTAGGGGCTATTTACTCAAATACTTACCCGGTAAGCGCTTATCAATAGAAGTCAATACTATAATTTATCTAGACGCATAAGATTTTAGTACATCAAAGCATATCGAATGCAACAATTTACTAGGTAAGCGCTTACCTGGGTAAGAGTCGTCATCCTCACTTACCGGGTAAAACTCTTCATCATTCTCATCGCTCTTACCCGGTAAGATTCTTGGCCCTTCTCATCTTAATTCTTAAAATTTCTTGCCCATCTAAATTTATGCAACTTTAGTTTATTACTTGTACATTATCATAAATTTTTATTATCATCATATTCATTTTTAATTAGTGTTAAAACATTATTCCTTTACATCTTTTCTTAGTTCAATTTTCATTTATGCTCGAATTTTCTTGCCATCATAATCTATTTTTCACTTTCTTGCACTAATTTTACATTATCGTCATTTTTGCTTTCGTAGCTTATTATTAGTTTCATTTCTCATAATCTTTACTTTCTTATTGATTTTTATTTTTAGTGTCGTAAATTAATTTTTAGCTTTTCGTAACTTTTATTTCGTTATTATTTAGATATTGTAAGTGTTCAATTCATTTTTTTATAAATAAAATGCAAGGAACTTGTGTGTGGGGGTGAAGTTAACACATAAAAAGCCTATTGTGGTGATAGAAGTTTGTTAGTCAATACAAATCTCTCCAACTATTTATTCAAGTTTGTATTGATAAAAATTACATCTATTGACAAGTTGATTATTGTTAAAAAGTTAAAGTGCGATAGACGTAGAGATAAACCATCTTGAACACATCAACTTGAATGATATGGATTTGTACTCGGGAGAGTTACTTAGAACCAAGAAGACTTGTTTTTGTTCCGTACAACTTATACAAAAGATTGATTGTGCCATTGTCAAGATTTAATTTTATTTTGGAAACTTTACAGTTAGTCCTTGGATGCATGCATTTCTCAATCTCAAAAGAGTGTCTTAGACAAACTGATGGTTACATGAAATGAGTTATTTTTCCCAAATTCTATCTGATTTATTTTCTTTGAAATCTTGACGACCCCTACATCCTTGCTTCCTATTTAACTAACTATTTATCTCAAAAGTTATAATTAACCAAACCAACAACATTTCTTCGAAATCACCATCTGAAATCATCTCTTTTAGTACTGGATTTTGAATTAAATCTTCTTTTTTCGTGTGGATCAGTACTTGGTATTTTACCGTTTTATTAATTGTAAAAGACGGAAATGGATTTTGCAACAGTTTGAGAGGTTTATTCCATATAAATTTTGCAACAAATTCAAATTCGAAGAAGTTGATCAAGAATGATTAGAAAGTAGATCACATTAGTTTATGCACTCAATTGATCAGATTAATCAATCTTTGAACTCAGAAGCTTCAAGAAATGAGAATTTCATAGAATTAGATATAGATCTTGATATTTATCGCAAAAAAAACATCCAAATCAACAGTTGTTAGCTTTGATATCGATTGTAGGTTCCCAGATGATCTAAGATCCAATGTAATCAATCATAAAGTAATGTAAATCACAATAAAAATACAGATTGAAGCTTGGAAGTCATATGTCAATTATGTTCAAATGGTTACAAGCTACCATTGTTCACTACAAAAATGCTGGGTATCAGCGAGGGAAAATTCCGTCGCTGATCCGTCGCTGAAAGTGCCTTCCGTCGTTGATCCGTCGCTGATACTCCGTCGGTCAAAATGTCGTAGGTAATGCTATCGGCGACGGATCAACGACGTAAATCAGCGACGGATTTGCGACGGACACTTTCAGCGACGGATTTGCGACGGACACTTTCAGCGACGGATTTG